TCGATATGCCGAAGAAATGGGAGCCGACCATCTCGCAGCGTTCGAAAGAATGAGGGACACGAATCAGGCCGTCGCTCGTAACACTCGTAGTTCTGTTCGATCTCGAAGAAGCGAAGTTTCGAAAGCTATTGTGAAAGACGAAGGTCTGGTCCAGCCTGCTTCTACTGCAGCATAGTTTGTTTACTGGAAAGCTCTGTGTCTCAAGTTGCTTCACCTTCTTGGAATGGAGGTGAGGGGTGGTAATGGGATTTGTTATTGCGATGACGCATGCTTCAAGAACTCATGAACACGGCGGCGCGTATCCGACACATAATTTACTACGGTTCCTGATGTTTACTAGATACCCCTACAGTATCCTGTTTGTAGAACAGCTTATCCAAAAAAGATCCGAAGGCGCGTTCGAACTATTGCGAGATGTTGTCGTACTGCTGTTCTGTTCTGAGATAAACAGAGTTGTAGCGGTCACCCGTTTCACTCTCAGCATCTACAACTTGTTCACATGACCTCTTAAGGAGGTCAAAAGCTTCTGTTCTCGTTTCCATATGTTCCAACACCTGGAACCCTAGCTTCGTATTCCTCTGACGAAACTAACCATCTTCCACACTTACAGCTCCATCACGACCTATATAGCTCTCCACACGTCCACTTCATTGTCGATCATTGTCACCATGGCAACTGATATAATCTGTTAGGCACTGGATATGGTCACAAACAAATCGCGTGTCCTCACGAACGATCTTCTATCGCCTCTTTGCCGCTGGAACATTTCCACCCTCCCGATTAGAACTCCTGGGACAATGCTGAGCTCCCGGAGCCGGCTTCACACCACCTCCGGCCTCATCAAAACCAGCGCCGTCTGAAATTACACTCATTGTGAGACTCAACATCCCCTCGACTCGCGTTCCCGGATTGTCCGTCCCCAACCGCATAAATATAAACATTAATACAGATTTCTTCCCCGCATACGCGTACCCGTGCCTAATGGTTTGGCTTACTACTGGGCGGATTTGAGGGAGAAAGAAAAGTTATTTTCTAAAAGACAGAATGCCTGGAGGACGTTTGATGGGTTGGATGCTTCTTTCTACGGCGTTTGAGATCCGGTGTTTATTAATGGTCGCCAGAACTCCCAGAAGTATTAAGAGATCAGGGAGAAACATTCATTTCCATTTGCGGCCATTACACATGGAGAAAGACAGACATAAAAGCAGGACAATGCGTACATACACACTGCAAAGGTTACAAAAACGTTGTTTAAGATAATAATGTCAATGCGTTAGATCAGCTATCTTGTTCCCCGGACTTGAACCCTCTCCAGAACCTCTGGGGGATTCTGGCAAGGGATGTTTATGCTGGTACGAAGCAGTTCTAGAGTAAGGCGGAATTGAAGGCATAAACCTTGGTTCATGGAACAGAATCAAGAAGGAGATACTCCAAGGCCTTTAAAACCCCATGCCGAGACATTTTGCGTCTATTATAAGGTATCACGGCAAGACAATAGCGTATTAAACGAGTTTTATGTCGTCATGAAGCAAAAAGGCTATACTTTCTGCACCATGAAATCAATAATGGTACCCTGACGTGAAAAGTACTACATAACAGTCAGGTTTCTTTATATTTCTGTTCTAGTTAGGACCAGACCTTTTGATTGGGGTGTCGTTTAGTTTTTCTTTCTCTGTGATTTTTGAGACACCCAAGAGTCTATACTTTATGCGGGCACTGTATGAGGGAAAGGGCCGGTCGCATAGGCACTAGATGAGAATAAATTACTTTTGCCCTCATATGAGGACTGACGGTTCAATAGACTCTAGCTAGTAGAGTAGATGAAACAAAAAAAATGAAACAAAAAAACGAATACCGTTCTGTGGGGTGTACGGTAAGGTCGGCACAGAAACTATGTTGCACTGGAACTGCTGTTTGATACTCTTCACGTGAGCATATTTTGCAAGTAATGGCCTTATCTTCTGTCCAAATGGCGTTACAAACTGCGACCTTTACAAAGTTCGTTCAAGCAGATCGTCTCATGCAATCCCCAAGATAACAGCTTTCCGGCATTTCTGCTGTCTTACAGTATCTGCCTTTCTCAGTGAACACAATGGTGCCTTTTGCATTTCTGCAAGATGAGACAACCGCCCGAGCATGTGACCTGACCGCAAGCGAACGGATTGACATCATCCACTTCACAGCGAATCCTTCCTGGTTTATGTCTCATCAAAAGCAAATTTTGCATTGAGTCTGCGAAGATGTTGCGGTCACGAGGAATTTTTTGATGCAGGGAAGCGGCAAAGGCAGGTTGTTCGCTGGACCATTTTTGCGCGGTGTCCCTTCAGATAATTAGAAAAGAGAAGAAGACTTTTTTTATCTTGGACGTCACATGATCATCAAACTTGAGTTGTACCATTTATGCTCTTTGCTTCATTTGGCATAGCGTCATGCTCTTTGCGGCCTTCATGATTCGGAGAGAGAGGCACGTCTCTTATCACGTGCTGCCGTGGTCTTAAAGGCTCTTAGGCATATCTTTCTCGCCTAAGTAAAGGTGCGCAGGTAGAACCCCCCGGTATGAAAGAAATTTTTGAGGGCGAGTTGCAAATTGCAACTTTTTCCGGATTATGTACAATACCCCTGGCGTACCTCCCAGTCGGCATCTGCTGTAACGTAAAAGACTGTTGCAGGTAGTAGTTATGCAAATCATAGACAGGTTATGCAAATCACAGACAAGTTAACGCCTCTGCACGCTGAATGCCACGCTTCGATTCTTTAGAGGCGTATAGAACAATAAAAACAAAGCAGGATGATACCGAAGGGTGCATCGAAGGACTGGGACAGTTCCCTGGAAAAAAACGCGGGAAAGATGTATTCGAAACCTTAAATTTTTGAATTTGAAAATTTCAGCACCAGTACCTACCGTTTCTTTTCAAGCGTCCAATCCCACTTCCCTACTGCACATTTTCCCCGACGGAATTGACAGACAAGATTCAGAAAACAAGGCATGAAGCTGCCGTGAAATTAATTTTCAAACAAGTGTAGATCCATATATCTGGCGCAATCGGAGTTAAAGTACTGCGTTGATCACCCCAGAGACAACTTTCACCCTAGAGACAATTTGCTGTTCTACGGCCTTCTTTCCAACGAAGATCTTGAGCAAGGCCACTCGCAGGAGCGCATTCAAAGTCAAACAATGGCACCCAATCGTCGCCGCGCCGCTTTAAGCGCTGTGGACGCAAACGTCGCTCCCTCTTCAAACGCAATAGTAGCTGGCAAAACGACGAAGGCCACTCGATCTCAGAAAGGACTAAAGGAGAAGCCGAGCACGGTCAAACCCAAGAATGATGCACTCCAAGCTGCGCTACAGGAGACAGAGGAAGAGAATGAGAACCTCAAAGCTCAAGTCGCTGCGCTAGCAAAACAACTCTCCCAGGCCAAGATTGACGTCGCTCCCGCAGCCTCTGCACCAAGGTCCAACCCGTTCGGGGGCACTTTCATCCCCGTCAGTTATCGTCCGAAGACAGCTGGGCCGCCGCCCACACGACCGACTACAGCTTTGCAGTACTACTCTGCTGCTCATCGCCAAGAAATGAGGGCACAAAAGCCAGGAGCGAGTCCTTTTCAGATTAACGTTCTTCTGAAGACTGAATGGGATAGCCGAAAGCCCGCCGAGAAGGCGGAATATCTACAGAAGGCTGCGGCAGACGAGGCCAGGTTTCAGAGAGAGAAGGCTGAGTATGACGACAAGGTGAAGAACATCACTCGCACGAATCTTGCGGTGCAGGCGATGCAGGATGACCTTAAGCAAAAAGCAGCAATGGAGCTCTATGAGCGCGAAATGGAAAAGAAAGCCAAAGCATCTCAGGCTGCACATGGGCCTGTGATAGAGAAGCCTAAACAGCCCCGTACTGCCTGGAACTTTTACGTCAAGCATAGGCGCGATCAAATGAGGGATAGTGAAGAGCCATTGCCGACAATGCGAGAACTGAACACGCAGATGAGCAATGCGTGGAATAAACTCCAGAAGAGCAAGAAGAAGGCCGACAAGGAGCTTCTCAAGTCCATACAGGAGGAAGCAGCTGGCGACCGAGAGCGCTTCGAAACGGAAATGGTTGCATACAATGCTCGCATCGCCGATCAGAAAAAGAAGGCTGAGCAGGAGGCTGAAGAGTTGGAGAAGATAGCCTTGCAGAAATACGCCGAGAAGGAAACCGAGGATTCTATCCTCTTGGAGGCTAAAAGGGCTCAGGCCGAAAAGGAGAAGGCCCTCAAAGCTGAGAAGAAAGTCATCAGGGAGGAAAAGAAGGCCGCTAGGATTGCCAAAGCCGCACTACCCAAGTCGGCCAGAACCGCCTACCAATTCTTCATGATGGAACAACGCCCCAAGATTCGACAGGAACAGAAGGGTATCCCTCATAAACAACTAATGCAAGTGCTGGGTGCCCGATGGAAGGCTATGGATGAAGGAGAGAAGGGTCCGTACGCGGAGATGGCAGCCCAGGATCGCATTCGATATGAAAATGAAACGAAGGCAGAGTGATTGGATTATTTCTCAGATGCAGCTTGAATACTTCGGCAGCTCGGACACGTGAGACCAGATTTGGGAACATTTTCTAGGCTAGGAAAGCGTTGGACGTTCTAAGGGCTGAGTTTTCTTCCGCAGTTTACGACACAAAACACATGTGACCGACCTGTGTCTTCGCGTGAAGGGCCGAACCCATTACCTCCTTTTTTTTCTGATTTTTTTTGCAATCAAAGATTCCCGGTTCACGTGAACGTCAGTAAATTCCTTTCGTATCTGTTCATCAAATACTTCGCCCCACACACACCTTTTTTGTTCGTCGCGTTGTTAGTCAATCAGCCGTTCGTTGTTCCGCCCCCTCGGTATTGCAGAGGGTGGAACATCGTAAGTCGATGTTCTAGGACTTTTCGCAACTAGATTTGTTTTGTCATTCGGTTTTAGTTCTGGTTCGCACGCCGTAGGTTTCGTGTCCACATAACTGGATCTCGCGCGTGCAATGATTGACTCAAGCGTGGCCGAGCATATCCTCCTCCATTGCGACAGAACTAGATCTAAAGAAGCAAGATATTCGTTGGACCGTTTCCTATGGGAGCCTCTGAAATGGCAGCATATGCACTTGTCCCCAGAGTGTCTTCTCGCTCCACAAAATGATATTCTGCGAGCACAGGAAGCACAAAAACTATTGATGCCGGACGGGCTCTGGAAATGCTCACTTTGTGGCAAAATATTTCGTTCAGAGCATTATCACGACAAGCATCTTGCACGAAAACATTCTAACATGCGGTACGATACCGGAACAAGCTGCCTCGCGGATTTTTGTGGGACACTTGTTCCGTGCGCCCCTTTAACGCCACATGCTTTGCCGTCTGTATCGACCATCCTACTTTTGAGGCAGGATAAGGGATTGTCCCCTTCGGATGAAACCCAGGGTAAGGAACACTGCAGCAACCAGAGGATACGGCGGAACAGAGTTCATGCTTGCGAAGAAGCGATTCGAAGTTGCCTACCAGATCATGTGTCCTTCCACACGGGGTTTTCGTCTCATGGCAAACTCAGTGGCTTTCGAGAAGATCTCTGTGAGCGTGCGGTGGAGATTGACTGCGTGCCGAGAGAAGAGGTGTGGTCACACTTTGGATCTCTCGAACGTGCTTTGCAGCGGAGGCACAGGTATCAATTTGCGAAGTACGTGGGATTGATGGCTGCCCTGTTGGTGATATTTGCTGTGGTGTTTTGGAGACGTCCTAACCACCAGCGACTGTCTGATCGTCGCCGAAAATCGAGGTAGGAACAGCTACAGACGAGCCTCTCAGATCTGTTTGTGCAATGTATTGCACCATTTGACGACCTTCATTTCAAGCAGAGAGAGGGCTCGTTGCCTTTTTTGCTGAGTTGGTTGAAGTCGTAGTTCTACATTTGTCCAATGCCGAGCAAAAGGTGTACAAGTCGCAATGTTTTACATTCTCGTTTAAGTTGAGATTATGGAGGATTAATAATGATATCGTGACACAAAATACTGAAGAAATGTCGGCTGTAATACGACTACGAACCATCTCGGATGGAGACGTGCTTCCTAGCGGCTCATCGAAACACCGGGGTCCGTTACACCACTTTTGATGCCTCTTCAGCAGCAGAATATTCCTTGCAACGATGCTGCCACGACATCGGCTTTTTTCGAGTCAGACACGGGGTGATCAGACCTTCGACAGCCAAAAAACAGGTTGATAACTATCGGCTCCCCAGTTTCAAGGTCGGCCGGGCGTGGTTCTATTAAAAAAACGTCTGCTGAAACCCTTCCAAATAGTTACAGGGTACTGTGACGAATTGATTCGGGGGCGTCTACAGTGCATATCGTTGCCTGTGACACTCTCGAACTTGTCTTCCGTCCGAGATATTGACAGATTCGGTGACCAATGCCAATGACCTTTTCAAGATTCACGTCTCCTATGTCGATACCCATACCCTGTAACATGTAAATAAGATCTTCCGTTGCTAAGTTACCAGCGGCTCCTGGCGCGAACGGGCATCCTCCGAGGCCGGCGACGCTGGAGTCAACGACACTCAAGCCCAAACTCATGGCTGCCAACACATTCGCTAGTGCTGCTCCACGAGTATCATGGCAATGAATAGCAAGTGCGCTGACAGGAATGCCCCGGCGCAAAACTGCGTCTATCATCTGGACTATTGATTTTGGGTTTCCGACACCAATAGTGTCACCCAAAGAAATTTCGTAGCAACCCATTTCGTAAAGCTTGAAGGCGACATCTGCCACGGCTTCTGGGGCGACATGCCCCTCGTACGGACAACCGACGACGCACGATACATAGCCACGAATCTTGATATCATGTGCTTGAGCAGCGGTAATGACAGCTCGAAAGCGATCAAGAGATTTTTGTATTGAGCAATTGACGTTTTTGTGAGAAAAAGTCTCTGTGGCTGCGGCAAAAACAGCGATTTCTTCAGCGCCAGCAGCCAAAGCGGCGTCGAAGCCTTTTATGTTGGGGACGAGAACGGGGTAGGTGACTCCGTTCTTCTTCTGCACGGCGGACATGACGTCGGAGGCATCTTTCAACTGCGGGACCCACTTGGGACTTACAAAACCAGTGACCTCTACAGAACGCAAGCCAGCATCGACAAGATCATGGATAAGCTGGACTTTCACGCGGGTGTCAACGAGGCGGGGTTCGTTTTGCAGGCCGTCACGGGCGCCGACTTCAACAATGCGAACAGCGGAGGGGAGTCGCATGGAAGGCGGACATTGGGGCACTGACACGGGGCGCGGTGGAGAGGTGGTCACAGTGGGTGCAGCTGGGTCGGACGTCGCACGAGGGCGGTCCTTCGGCAACATGACCGACTCGTGGGGCTGTGGGGGAGAATGTGCATCTGGAGAAAGAATGCGACCCTCTGAGCCTCGACGGATTATCATGAACGGGTTGCGACGCCGGAGGTGGCGGTTAGTTGCGGCTTGGCGACGACCACGAAGGTGTGGTCGTAGTGCAGAGGTGGTTTTTACGCAAGGTGGATTCGGCGATGAGGACTGAAAATGTAAGACGCATGTCGGTATACGTGTAGTACGCAGCTTTAAAAAACGTTTACTCCAGAACGGTTCGTACACGCTCGACGTTGCACTGACTCACCTGCAAATGTGCCGCCCGACTCAGCATAATTACAAAAATCTAGAAAAATCTATCAGTTTGCTGATTGCCCACTGACACATTCTGTGCCTGACACAATTTTGCCAGCTATCACACCGCACCATTTCCAGTCTATGACGTCAAGTCATCGTGAGTGGCTGCTTGAGTAGAACCCACCTGCCCAGTTTGCTTCTCTCTGGTCACTTCACGCAAACCCCCCATTTTGAGCAACGGATTCCCGTTTAGCCCTTGCTTTGATTTAGGACATCCACTTGAACCTGCCAAGAACCTATTACATTTCAGTAGCTACCCCAGGCCCGAGGTGAGGAAGTCAACGCATTGTGAAGACTTGCCCAGTGTCTGCTAAGGGTAGCCCCAGGGGGCATCAATATCCCTAGTGCGAGTGTTCTCAGAGAAGGTGGCCTTGTTTCATCCCTTGCTCTCGGTATCTTCAAAGAGAAATGCAACCCTGCTGGCAACACACTCTAACACATCCACACTCGCAGCGGTCAGCGGCTCCGCCTCCGAAATGCACAACCGCGTAAATCTATAGAGAGGCCTTTCCTGCAACGGTTGCTCATTCCTTTCCGGCATCCAAAGCCCGAACAGCCGCAATGCGTTTCTGGTCATCCTTGAACTTCTTCTGCAGTTCCACGAGATTGGTCTTGTTCTCCCTCTGAAACCGATAAAACCCAGCCTTCTCAATGCCCTTCGAAACGTCCAGGAGGCTTTTCCTATTCTTACCACTCTTGCTCTTGTAATTCCCAGGCCGTGATTTTCCCCTCGTTCCCAAGTTCTTCGCCGCCTCTGCCTTCATCTGCGGCGCCCCACTCGTAACCGTTATGAAACCATCTTCATCAGGCACAGCGCCCTGCCTGGCCTTGCGCTCTTTCTCCTCAGCCCGCTGCTTCTCGCCGGCCTCGAACGCCTGCATGGCCGCATCGCTCCATGCAGCCACGCCTCTCTCGTCGCGAGATGCCTGGTACTCCCGAATCCATTGCTCCACCACCCCTTCCTCCTCGCTCTCGCCGCCGCTCACCAGCTGCTCCCAATTGACATACAAATGATCATCCGGTTTCGACAGCACGGCTCGCACGGTGCTCTCCCCCTTTGACAATGCAGTCGCATTTGGCTCGGACATCTGCACTCGAGTCGCCAAGCGGTTGTTGCCAAGGCCAAAGACGTCGCCGATAGACAAAGCACCCGGCACCATTTTTCGTAGCACCTTCTTGAGGCGCGGCTGGTCGGAGGGGCAAACCGGCTCGGAGTCTGTGACTGCAAGCCATTTCGGCTGCGGAATATTTCCGATGAAGAGCTCTGTTTCCGAGTGTTGGCTCAGGTAAAGCCAGCCGTTGGCGTTCGGCACTCCTGCAAGGGGAGACTTACGCACGCTGTGCCCTCGCACGGCGATGAACGCTCCGATCTTTCGCACTTCAAGACGGTCAGAAGCTTGATGATCACGAGGCTTCTTCATGCTTAGGACGCGGAGTCATAGCCGAGTCGAGGGGCAGTTGCCGCCTCCGCCGACGCTGAAGTCTGCGCGCCCTTGTTGGATCACTACATGAATCGTTTCCACGTGGCCACGAGTACACGTGGATCAATTCGGTGTGGAGCAGATTGCTTTTGAATGGTTACGGGCCATTTTGTTTTGAGAAAATAAATCAGGCCTGTTCGGTAAGGCTTTTTGGGACATGGAGCGTGCCATACAATGGTGTCTATTGGACCACTGTTCTCATATGAGGACATTTGTTTTCATAAGAGGACATTATTCGACCTACAGTATTTCATTCTTGAATTCTGCTTCCTCGACAAAAAAGAAAAAGATACCCGCGCCACCGTACTTGACTTCTGACTTGGGCCCAGAAAGAACTATGTGAGAATTGCATGTTGTTCTTGGGTTGTTTTTAGATATGTCTGGAAAAGAAGCTTTTTTAAACCACCTTAAAAAGTGGTTTAAAAAAGCTTCTTTTCCAAAGTTATTTTACATGCGGTTTTAAAAAACCGCGTGTAAAATAACTTCGAAACCAAAAACGCCAGTGTAAAAAGGCAACTTGGTACTCAATCTGCAGTATATTCTTAAGCGTTCTGCGTATTCAGAGCTGCTATCCCAGTGTTCTGCAAGATGCTATTGGTGAAAACAAGCACGTTAGGGAAAGAGTTCTCAAAGTAGCTTTGTTCAATTTAAATATATTATATATATTTTGCAAAAAAAGAGCTGTCCTCATATGAAGACATCGCCGTCCTCACATGAGAACAAGCCCCGGTCGTATAATATAATCAATATATTATATTGACGGGCACACTTCGAACACGCAGATGTGGTAAAGAAGTGCGGATAAGGCGGCCCTGAAAAAATTTCTGAGAGCTTGCTCCTGCCTTGATCGTACAGTAATACCTTAGCAGCATGGCTCCATGCAGCCCATCAAGCCATGTCCCCATCAAGTCCAGAGTCAGGTCCCCATCAAGTCCAGAGTCAGGTCCCCATCCATGCACCAGGTCATCCATGCATCAGGTCAGGTCCCCATCAGGTCAGGTCCCCATCAGGTCAGGTCCCCATCAGGTCAGGTCCCCATCAGGTCAGGTCCCCATCAGGTCAGGTCCCCATCAAGTCCGGTCCGAAAGCACTTTCGAAATAGTCAGTACAGTAGTGCAAGTACTGTACAGTATAACTTTAGTTGGGTTTTAGTACAAAGCTGTAAAGATGTAAATTTTGTGTAATGTTGCTGTATAAAGTTGTTGCGCGCAGGGAACAGCGCTGAGAATCCACGTCAGTGTCAAAAAGTGAGACAAAATTATGGGGGACCACAGCGAGATATTTTTTATGCAGTGCGGCAGTGATCCTTGCCTACTGTACTGTAGCAGTGTGTTTCTACGCACCCATACCACCCGAATCCTATTGACGTTTCCATCTATTCCACACTTCACTTCACGATGAAACGCTCGAAAGTACAACCGCTGCTTTCTGGTTTCCTGTTTCGATACCTGCAAGTATTGCGCACGCAGATCGCACACTATTCATTCTGAATTTCCCCTCATCGCTCTGCAGAAGCACCCGCAGAATCGAGTAGATCTTATCCACTATCTCTTGGTCCTTTCCGAAAAAGTCGAGCGCCTCCAACACAGTCTCAATAGCTCCCGCATCCACAGCTCGTTCTGTAAACTCCTTCCGCCGCCACCCCACGTTTACCGCAACCGTAATAGCTCGCTTCAACAATCCCACCAGTGACGTGTTTGCTGTATCCGATGTTAACTTCTCATTTTCTCTTGCGGCGTCCGACACCACTGCCCGAAGTGCACCGAAGAAGCACTCCACGTCTAGATCTACGGAAAAGAAATCTTCACGACGTCCTTCGAGGTCGCACAGCAAAGTCAAACTTTGCCACCGCACTTCGGCAGATTCCTTGTGCATCTTGAACGCCGTTCCAATCGATTGCGTACTCTTTCGCACTATCTCACTGTCTATTGATCCACTGCCAGATCGAGAGATCAACGTTCTCAGTGCATCGAGCCCGCATTCTTGTATTTCAGTCCGGTACTCATGCAGCGACATTGCCCGAAGCACATACAACACTGTTCGACTCACCGTCGACGACCTGGTCAGTCGATCTGTTCGTATGCTGTTCACCGACTCTGCTGATTGAGGGTAGTACTTGAGTTCAGATAGCGCACGCAGAGCATACTTTGGAATATCAGGTTTGTTCTCGTATCTGTCCGACGCCGCTGCTTTTCCCATCTTGTACGGACCGTCAAACATTTCAAAAAGACGCAAATTGCGAGGTGAATCTCGGAGCAAGCAAGTGAGTGCGAACGTCACGTTCTTGACGATGAGGGACCGATCAAATCTGGCCGTGATTCTCATTGACAAGCACTGGATGAGTGTCTGCACAGCAGCAAACTGACCAAACGCGTCTCTGGTAGCCGCATCCTTCTCGGAGAGAAGACCTATGACCAATGCAGCTTTCTCGATCACGATAGGGTTGCCCTCACTATCTCTAAGCAAATCTACAATCGTGCGTAGCCCGCCGCCATCCCCCCTCGCTTGAGACTGTAACACATCTGTGTACGCATTATAACTAAGAGACTCGGCGTTCGCCGTGGCTGACGAAACCTGACGGGAAGGCAGATGCGAGTAAGGACTCTCATGAATAGGAGAGGTTCCTTCTTGGGATGATTCTCGTCGCTTCTTCTTTTGACGAGAAGAAGGGCCCTTGGATTTGTAGTTGATGCGGGACTTGTTTTCTTGTTCACTATCACTCGCGATGGAACTGAAGAACGGATCGTCTTGGAAAGTGGTGCGAGAGAAGTCGGTGTCTGAAGGCGGCTGAATCTCGTCAGAATGATCAGGATCAAGACTGTGATCGTCATCTGGGTCACGGTCTCGATGGCGTGGCTCAATAATGTAATCAGTTTGAGAACGGATATCCATTCGAGGCCTATCTTGACTTAGACTGGCTCTCCGCTGTGTCGGTTGAGACGAGGTAATGCGCTTCCGGGAGGGCCTGGTTGAAGAGGCCCTGTCCTCAGATTGAAAATCCCTCTCGCCGACGCGCCAATTCGCCGGGTCTGAAAAGCGACTGGCCTGTGTAGCCTTGTCAAGGTGGACAGCATCAAGTTCTTCGACGTCGTTGTCTGGATGCGCGGCGGGGATGTCAGGGATAAGATGGGAGTTGTCGTCCTGGTCACGCACGACCTCGGGTTCATCGGGACGGTTGGGAGCGTCGTACATGTCGTAGAAAATCGGAGCCTGGGTGCGATGGCTGTCAATGACGGAGTCTGTCGGGAAGGACAGGACAGAGTTGCCCATGTCGGAGAAGAAGGAGTGGTCAGGAGGGCGCTGCCGCTGAAGGCTGGCGCGACGCGAAACATGGCGCACAGGGAAGGAGATAGGTGCAGAGAGGACTGGGAGACGGAGACGGCGCGGCGGGCGGGAGTTTGGCGGAAAGACCTCTGGCTCTGCGGCATGGCGTCTGCGGCGGCGGCCAAAGGGAAGCTTGAAGGTGCGCATCGGACGAGAGGGGGTGAGGAACGCGGTTACTGACAGGTCGTGCGTTGGACCGGAGAGGTGCAGGTGGGTGGGGGTGGGGCGCGAGAGGTAGCGAAGCGAGGGCGGAGAGGGGTTTTGACCGGGGAGGATAAGGACGGTGCTTAGCAAGAAAGGGGGCTATTAAAGCAGAGAAGGGGGAAGAGGACGTTGGGGTCGGGGTGCGGCAGAGGCGGAGAAGGGGATGTAGCGGGGCATATGATTGGATGCGGAGGGGGGGGGGGGGGGGGGGGGGGGCGGGAATGAGTCGCTTGTGACCTGGAGATGTGAAAGGGGATGCCGATATCGTTGGCCGGGTGATGCGAGGTGGCGTGTTAGAAGCGGCGGCGCTATCACAGCGGCGGCCGGGCGTCGCGGCACCGTCCGGCAGGACGGTGCAGCCGGCGGGGGCGGGGGCGATTCATCTCGGGGGGCGTATCGCCTTGCGTCGCTCGCTTACGGACACCCCTCTCGCGGCGGTTGAAAAAACTGCTGTATTCCTCCCTTGCCGCGGCGCCAGCTTGCCGACGCGGGCAAGCGGCGCGACGCGGTGTGTTTCTTCGCCCGCCCCCCCCGGAACACGCGGCTGCCGCGCGTCACCCCGCCAAAACACGCCGCGTGCCGTGGCAGTCCGCTCGCCGCCCAGTCCCCACCGTGCCTCGCGCCGCCGCAACCGCTTTTGGCAGCCCGCCCACGCGCACACTCACCCGCACGTGATCTTCCAACTCACCCGCTCTCGTGTCCCGCCGTTGGACCCCCACACCCCCCCCACCCATTGGCCCCCCGCCCCCGCCTCCCGCTCGCACCGCACGCCTCGCGGGAGCGCCCCCACTGCCACCGTCTACGCTTGTCCGTCCGCACTGTACACGCTGTCGCCTACCCCCCCACCCTACTACGTCCCCCGGCCGAAACCACCGTGATTCCCGCCAAAAGCTCCGTCGCGACGCGTCCCACACTCGCGACACACCGTAAAACCCTTGCGAGCCAGGTCACTGCTGCTGTCCCCTGCTCCACTCGAGCTCCCCCCAATTCCGATCTCAGCGTCCGCCCTGCTCTGTGTCACCCGCCACACTAGCGACACCGGCCTCCCGAACCTTCATCTACTGCACAACTGTGTCGCCACCTGCCGACCCCCCCGCTTTAATTCACAAACCCCCACCAGTGCCCCCGCAAGCTTGATACTCCGGTCCGCCACCGCTCGAGCCTCCCTGCGAGCCACCTGCGCACTATGCTGCTCCACTTTTACAGTGCCGACGCAGGTTCGCCCTACAACATTCATTCATAATCTTCTCGATACAGTTCTGTATCACCTCCAGTTTCCGCCTCCATCGAGTCTTGCTCTGGCGCTCAATGCCACTGCGGCAACCCCGATCACACTCATCTATTTGCCGCAAGCCCTAGTCCACTTGCATTGCGACCCCAGTCTCCACTGCGACCCCAGGCTCCACTCTAATCACCAGCTCGGCATCCTGCATGCGTATTTTCTGTACACTCTCTTTACTTCAAAGTTAGTTCTGTCAACCGCGACCAACAGTGCAAACTACCCTGCATCATTCGTGTCCCACACTGCAATTATCTTTCTTGTCTCCCGCCTTTCAACTTCCTCTCATACATAAATTCCAATCTTGTCGCAAAGGGCGTCAACCCGAAAACTGTCAACCTGCACCAAATCTCACCGCTTGCCTGTCAGCTCTGCGACAGCTGGCAGCCCTTTCCTCTCATACTCTTGATATCACGCTCAATCCCTCCTCTTTCTCCTCCACACCAGTCATAACTCATAACCAACCTACCAGCACACGCATCCATCACAATACACTGCCTCTCGGCCCAACTCCCTTCGCGCTTTCCTGTCCCCCTCCCTCGCCAATCATTGATGAGCCACCTGGTCTCGTTTGCTCTTGCTCCTCCCGCCCCCTGCTGTCGTCCTCGGTTACGGATAAACCATGCGCGACTGTCGTTTCTGGTGCAAAAATGTGATCTTGCTCCCTATCGAACCGCCTTTCGGGCTCAACCCTTCCACTGTTCCATCGAGATAACTCGCTCCACTCTGAATCCGCATCTCCGCTGCTCTGCTCTTCTAACGTACTGTCTGCCCTCCGACCACGTCTAAATCGCCTTCGTGCCGCTGCCCAAAGAGCGGATATCGTCGGAATCAAATCGCAATATACCGCAATCACAACTGCAAGACCAATTGCTACGAATCCAAGCACCAATGACCCAAACTCCATGCCTTCAGCTGAGTCATAATCTCCGAGCGCTCCTAGAAAGTCCATTACCAGGAGCACAAATTCTACGAGCCCGAGAACCACGATAAGCGTGCCCTCAACCTTGTCCACGAAGGGCGCGAGCAGAAGAAATAGTCCAAATAGAATAGCATATAAGGACACAAGAATCGCAAGGCAAACAACCTCATTCCAGATCAAAGCTGTGAAGATGGCGTCGAGGAAGATGATCCCGAGCTCCAAAGCAGCCAACCAAAGCCTTGGTCCTGCCAATGAGCTGTAATAGCATTCGAACAGTACATGAAACGAGTCATTCTCTTCAGCTTGATATTCACCGCTAATCAGTGCACTTTGTCTCATGTCTGGATCCGCGATCTCATTCTTTGGAATCCACTTAACTTCCCGCCGTCGTACCCTCCTCAATGCAAGCACCATCACTCCCACAAAGAACGCAGTGAAGCCTATACCAATCACCAGCAACTGGAGCACAGCCACTAAGTAGAGCCCACCTTTTCCCGTGCCAGCCCCGACGTGCGATCTCATATATTGCATTGAGTTCAGTACCGCCGCTCGGTACACGTGAGACATGACCACGGAAAAGAGGTAAATCATCCATGCATGTGGAACAAGTTGCTCTTGCCAAGGCTTCTTTCGCGTACAAAGCCAGATGAAAGCATGCAGGGACAGAAATCCAATCACGATTAAAGAAGTATAGAATGCACAACCTCCGAAGAGTTCGTCCGAGACACTTACTTCCCGGTTTTCCGTTTCTTGTCGTATCATGGATGCAAAAGAGTCCGAACCGTTTCCAGACAAAAGCGTTTGGTTTCCTGTAAACTCTGGAGAATTTGAGGAAGTCTCGTTCGCGACTCCTAAGCCACCTGAAAACGGCCATTCTACTTTCCCAATGAAGATTTTCAGTCCGTTTCCAAACTTAGCCATGGCATCGGAGTGAAATCCATGGATTTCGTTAAGTTTTGCGACAAATGCCGCAGTACCTAGTAATCGCACAAGACCTTGACCAGGTGGGCCCTGAACTGCGCCTGGAACCAGTGCAGCAGTAACTGCGCCGCCAACTGCGCCAGCAACAGTTGCTCCTGCAACGCCGATGACGGCAGTCTTGGCGGTGGATGCCATCACCTGAGCTGTTTTGATGGCCCTCTCACTAGACCCTTGATATATGCCAACCTTACTCCCGCCCTGTTCGCCGTCAAGAACGGGGGTGCCGGCTGTGCCCTCATAGCTATCATCCGAGAAGTTCGGAAGACCTCTCAAACTTACCCAGTATGAATTAGAAGAAAAGCAAGATGTCGGGCCGAAGGACGCTGCCGTCAATACACCAAGAACGTAACCTGCACTATTTGGATCAAGCTGATGGACCCAATCTTCATCACTCTTCAGATGTTGAATCTCTGCTACAAAATATGCTCCAATAGACATAGTGCCCTCGTGAGCCTCACCTATCGGTCCGGGGTAGGAGATGTTCTGAACCCATTGCACATTCTTAGAAGACAGCAAGACTTTTTCTTTCGTAAAGATCCTGAAGCGTCCATGGCTGTAGCGACGTGTATCACCCGCTTCTCCCGAAGTGTTCCAAGAACCACTTGAATTCACTGTGTTGATGTGCGAAAAATCAGAAAGAGAAAGATTGCGCATTTCAACTCGAACCCCTTCGAAGTCTGGAGGGTTTGGTAGACTTAGGTAGTAATTGTATGGGTCAAGGTATCCTCGTGACATCCTACCGCTCCCCCCACTCGCGCATGTGCCGTTACCACGTCCGTCAGCATTCCAAGACATCTCAGTGTTTGCGTACACAGACAAGTTATTCTGTTTCACGAAAGGCGAGTTGTTGTGCGTAAACATCCATGGAGCACTTCTACTTCTGCTGTCGACATCCAAATGTTCTAGAATAACTGTAAGATTGGACGATTCCACGAGATGGCGGGCGGCCTTCTGTTTTCGGCTCACACCTTTCCCACCATCTCCCATCTCTGAGCGCAGCGCCTCATGAATGGCGGCATGTTCCACGATTGTGCTCACGCCCGTGCTCACCCTTGTCGTCATCGGTCGGCGCCTGGGCCACCTCGGTAAGAAAAACTCTCTCGAACATGCAACTAGAACAATGCTTGCGATGACAACAAAGAAGGCCCAGACGCTGAATACGCGGCAGGCCCGTGCGAAGGGCGTTAAACGATCGCTGTTTTGCATGCCATATGAAACGCCGAGCGCAAACACCGCGGCAATAGAGCTGCATGCGCCCCTCCAACGAAAACAACCAATATGCCGAACGCAAAGGGCTTTTGGTATATCCCGAAAGTATTTCGAGAATGAGCAAAGACGCTGCAACAATTTGCCAGTCTTACAAAACGAAGGACACTCTTCGTGATCTCATCGCAGAGCGAAATATCTCCATTGCTCGGCGTATGTAGAACCTCTTTCCATTGTGTGTTCATGGGCGTGGCACTGGACGTCTCTGCAAAGAGGCGCGTGCCTTCAAATTGAAGCCTCTCGCTGAGAAACTGTTACCGGTCATTTGCCACATCAACCATCATCTTAATTAGCGATGTACATCTTTCGTCTGCAAGAAAGGAGAGCTGTGCTCTCCTTTGGAGAATAAGAAAATTTAGTGCCACAGACATCGCATTCCTGTGAAACGATAACAATAGTCTTCTTTCCGGAAGCTTAATTGAAACGTGCCACCACAACAGAAACAAAAAACGCCACGCTTCTCACCCATATTGAGATTCTCATAAAACATGACGTCGTATCCCAGATATTTTTCTAAGTTTTTCAAGCCGCGTACTGTACCAAACGAATTGAAGGCACGTTCTATTGAGGAGGTCAGTGATCTGGGAATGCCACGTATGTACAACAGTACGCCACCAATGTCTTTCTCAAAGAGATATTTCGCTTGCGCACACTGCTGCACAGCAAAAAGTTCCTGGGATCCTCCACAAGCTTATCCCTGTTGTCTAAGCCACATGTCTGCATAGAACCCATTATCAGAGATCAAGCTCCTGTGCGCCCCGATCTCAATCACCCTTCCGTGATCCAGCACAATGATGTTGTCTAGACCAGAGACGGTCGAGAGGCGATGGGCAATATAAATTGCTGTTCGCGACCTTGTCAAATTGTGCAACGACCTCAAAATTTCTTCTTCCGTCTTACTATCCAGGCTGCTTGTGGTTTCATCAAGACACAACAAGACAGGGTCTTTCAAAACGGTACGAGCGATGGCCAAACGCTGCTTTTCTCCGCCTGAAATCTTCAAACCTCTTTCTCCGACTTGCGTCTCGTACCCTTCGGGAAAACGAGATACAGCATCGTGTATGGAGGCTTGGCGGGCGGCTTCCATGACTTCGGCATCAGATGCACCTAATCGCCCATACGCGATGTTATACTTGATAGTATTGTTAAAGAGTACTGTGTCTTGCGGAACGACTCCCACACGTGATCGAACACTATTCATGTCCACATCCCAAATGTCTTGTCCATCTATCAATATTCGCCCATCGTTTGGCCTGTACAGACCATATAGAAGGCGGATGATCGTGGATTTACCACATCCGCTGGGTCCTACAATGGCAGCTGTGCTGGCGTTGGGTACTTCAAAAGATACATTGTCAAGGATCTTTCTCTCATCGGTGTACCCAAAGGAAACGTTTTCAAAAGTTACAGTCGCACCATTGTTCTTGTTCTTAAGCACGAGGGGCCGTGTCGCGTTTTTTGCAACTAAATCTGAATGAGCAGGTTGCGCAAGGAGTGAGAACATTGACTCCATGTCAATCAAACTTTGTTGAATTTCGCGGTATACGGTTCCCAGAAAATTCAGGGGAAGGGAAAGCTGGAAAAGCATGCCGTTGACCATGACGAGGTCTCCGATGGTCATGGCACCGCTAGCGATCTCGTGACTAGTCATAAGCATGATGGTAGTTAGCGCTGCCGAAAATATTGCATTCTGCCCGAAATTGAGCAAACTAAGAGAGCCTTGTGTTTTGACATGCGCGTTGCCATACTGTTTCAAGAACTGGGCGTACTTCTGGGCTTCATGTTCCTCATTGCCGAAGTATTTGACGGTCTCAAAGTTGAGCAACGAGTCAATGGCCTTCGACGACGCGGCAGTGTCCGCGCGGTTCATCTGCTTCCTGAACCGGGTTCGCCAATGAGTTGTTGCAAACGTAAACACAGTGTACGCCCCCACAGTTGCAGCAGCTACCCCTGCAAATGCTGGTCCAAATCTCGTGGCCAAAATAGCACACACGATGCTCACTTCAAGTATGGTAGGAAAGACATTGAAGACCATGCTCCTCAGCATAAAGTCGATACCCTTCTGACCCCGATCGATAACCCTCGCCAAAGCGCCTGTCTCCCTCTGCAAGTGAAACGAAAGCGGCAACGCGTGGAGATGTCGAAACGTGTTGACAGCGACTTCGACGATCGCTTTCCGCGCAACGGATGCAAACACAGCATTCCGCAATTCACCCGTGAGCGAGGACCCCGCTCGCGCGGCGCCATAGCCGATGAGGGCCGCGGCGGGGACAAGGATGGGTGCGGAGACGTCGGTGACAGAGGCGGACATGGACATGGCATCGACAGCGTACTTAAACATAAACGGGACGCTGACGCTTAACGCCTTGCTAACACCGAGCAGACCGACGGCGCCAACTACGCGGCGACGGACGGTGGCATCATCGGCGGGCCAGAGATAGCCACCTAGGTTGCGTAAGACGCGGATAGAGCCGGCGCGCGAGACCTTTCCATCCGCAAGGCCGGGGCCGCCAGCCCCGGACGGACCGACGGCGGAGAGATGGCGTCTTTGGATGAGGCGAAAAGAGGGGGTTGCGATGCGAGGGCGCGGAGTATCATTGTTATTGGGGGTTGCTAGTGAATGAGAGTGAGCGGTTGGAGTGAGTGATGAGGAGAGGACACGCGCAAAAGATGCGGGCCAAGGGGACAAGGCGGGATACGGACTGGAATTGCTTCGGTGAATGCGCGACGTTGAGATCGGTGAGCGGAAGTAAAAGGATCGCGAAAGGGAAAGGGAGGTGCGCGCAAAATGGTCACGCATGACACGAATATGTGAGGGGCACAGATGCGCACGCAAAGAAGTCGCGGAGGGGAGACGTGTCGACGAAGACCTGACGTTTGGTGCCTTCTAGCCGGGAGCCAGCCTTGACAGCAGGGACCAACGCTCTAGTGTCTATTGGACGGACGTTTTGCACTCATTTGAGGCGAAATGAGCCTCATCTGAGGACCGAAAAATAACATCCTCACGAGTCAGAATATTAGTTACGCCCTGTCAAAGAGTTGAACATGACTGCTGTACCCCGTTACAGGCCGCCTCACTACAGTACAGCTATAATTGCCAGCACGAATTGAAGCAGCATCGGTGCAGTCGCTATCAAACCATATGTCATGTAACGTTCAAGCTTTTTATTGTATTACTTAATGCATCAAGTTGAAATGCCTCGTAAAACAGTCCCGGCCATTCTTTGGATGACAAAGAAAATTTTTGCTTCCCTCCTTCACTCCGCACTGAGAACAGACCCACGTTGACTTCATTTTTTCCGTTTCGGACAGACAAAACACAGTCCTTGCTTTCTTTGATCCAACTTCCCTCCGCTGGAGGTACGCCGACGTTGTTTTGTGGGAGATAAATAAATTCCGCTGCAATCGGTCCGTATTTCCTTATCCATCGCGTTTTCACGCTCAACATGACTTGCACGACACGTCCCTATGACATCAAACAAATTTTAAACCATTGCAGTACCGAGTAAAACCCAAAAAGAATTCAGATCGAGTAAATCTCTCTCACTGTTTCCAAAACGATAGAGAAGGTAGCAATCCGTCAGCACAATTCCTAACAGAGTACAATTAATTCGAAATGACCACTCCTTAACCTCCACAGATTTTTCGAGGTCCAGACTATCCTGGCGAAGTCTATTGTGACTGTCAATGACCCCAGCTGCCGCAAAAATAATCCGCGACCATCTCTGGCATCGAGATGGCAATATCAACAGGGCATGCTCCATTTTCGTGCTGCCTCCATCTCATGTGTTGCTGAAGTACTGATTTTTCGACACGACTGGCTGTAGCAATGAAGTTTTGTCTGTTTCGATCAACCCAGCAAACAGCAACTATCTTCTTATTTTCTCCGTTTGCTTCTACAGTTGACTCCAGATATTTAAAATCTCCTTTAGCATAAAGCCTTTGGCTCCCAAAAACCCCACTGGGAATCGTTTCGTCACCGTTTTCACCACCAAAATAAATCTTAAGTTGTTCTCGAATAAAACTTCAGAAGCCTCAACTGAGGCAAAGTGACTATCAGCGCAAACAATTCTCTCCCGATCAGACCATAGTTTGCAAAGTTCCAGTAAGACTCCAGTGCCATCGTTCCAGTTGCCATTTTGCCGAACAGTGTCAGATTCTTTAGCAGATTTAGCCAGCTTTAACCCGAGCATGATACACGATTTTGCGCAGGCCATTTTCTGTCTTACGTCCGCGTTTGACGTAATGAGGACAGCCGACATCAATCTACGAGCCTCCTGAACCGTATCATCTGGACATACACTCGTCTACACAAAGAAAATGAGGCAGAATGACATGCTCCCTACGGTGAGCGTTTATAGCCTCAACAAATTCCTTTCAAAGGCTCTATGGTATTTTCTCAGTGTAGCAGTGACCTCTTTCATCTTGACTGAATTGCAAGAACTTGCGTATGATCTCAAATCTTTCACGCGACATGATTGAGCCAAACTTCGGCTGTCCGAGAACAGGTAACAACGTGCAGGTACTCCCAAAATCTCGTCTGTTAGAAAACTTGCATCTCGTCATGAGTACGAGCGTTCCAAAAAACTTAATAATTTCTCCAGACGTCGTAGGCCTATCACAATTTGTTCGTTATTTTTTGTTGGTGAGAAAGACCATCCTTGCCAAATGTAGAAGTGGAAACATCCAAAAAAATAGTCCAGCAACTTCATATTCCCAGGGGCACTGCCTTCCTGCATAGAATATTCTTCAGGCCCTCTTACACGGCAGGAGATTGGCTTGACTCCTCCATTGACCCAGTCGTACAATGCGGCAGAATTCCAGCGCTGGTCGTGGCATTCAAAAACAAAATGTTCGGCATCTTCCAATGTTGATGGGGACAAAAGGGGCAAGAATTCATCGTCGTTCTTGACTGCGTGTTGTTGTAGGATACTTGGGGCACTGGTCTGGGGATTTAACAACTGAGGCTGCGCGGTCCTGTTTGAGGAAGTTTCTTGAACAGCACTTTCGACAATTGTCGAAAATGCTGTTCAAGAAACTCCCTAATGTTAACATTTGTTGCTCTGTCAGCGATTTTCTGATACTCAGAATCCAAGAAAAAAGGGGTCCTCTGAAAATTCTCGAGGCTGACGCTCTGGAATATAAGTTGGTCCTGACCGTACACTTCCTAGCGGTAACGTGACAGTCTTGGTGTTGGGTCCATACGCAAACAAGCATTTTAGGTGCTTGTAGTTCTGCCCCTTTTTCTGTGAAACGATCACAGAAAGGACTTTCCCATCAACATTGGTCTTTTGAAATGATAGTCGGAAGTGGTTTTTGGCTACCGAGTGCTTCAGTACTCTTGTCGCGAGAGCATGAATGTGCGCTCGTCGTACTAGGCGCGGATCTGAATTGGCACGGGCCATTTGATTGATTGTGAGTATTTTTTCTGGGTGTCGGAGCTTTGGATAGATCCTCTTAAATACAGTGCATTCTTTGTGCCTTCAAAGGACTTGGACATTGTTTAGTACTCTGACTGTTACTGTTTTGCGGCAACTATGGGTTTCGGTTCTCCCTCTTTGCGCCAGAAACAGCGACGGAAAAAGCCTCATATGAGGCGAAATCCTCAAATGAGGCGCATTGTCCAATAGACACTAGCTACAGTGTAGTGTCTAGACGACAAGCGATTTGCTTCATATGAGGTCAGGCATGGGAGGCCAGCTTTTTTTTGCAAAAATGTATATATTATATATTAAATCGAAACTTTACCAAGTCAGTTTGGACGTCATTTCTTTAACGTACATGCCCTCGGCAATAACATTTGGAAAGCAGTTGTCAATAATACACAGAAAGACTAAGACTCTTATCAAGTTTCAACATCCGGTTGACATTTTGAACAGGCTTTTTGGTTTCGAAGAATTCTTTTTTAGGCATTCAAAAATAGCTGGAAAAGACATGCATATCTCACCAAACTCCATCCTACCGCAACGCACAAGTCAACTGCGGCGGCGAGAGTATCTTTTTCCTTCTGGTTGAGCAAGCACAAGTCGAGCAAAAATAAGTTGAAAAGAAGCCTCGTTTGAGGTCAAATGGCCTCATAGAATATGCGATCAAGTGAACGCTGGCAATTATGTACTGTAGACTGCACAGTTGATCTGGTACTACAGTATGCAGGACCCCCGTTGTATACCGCAGAGTCCGTGCCGCGGCCCTGAGAACAAGGACCATCTCCTGTCAGGATCGGCCAATGGATTCATCTTCCATAGATCCGAGGCGGTCCGTTCGGGACTGTCCAGCAAGGTCCCGGTGGGGGCGCAGAATCGGCCTTCAATGTTGCGAGCCATTTGATTGGGAGGAGAGGCGACTGCCATTCTGGAACGAAAATCTCCCTTTTTTTTTTTGCAGCCTTCAATAATGATGCAAGCCATTTGATTGGGAGGAGAGGCGATTGCTATTCTGGAACGAGAATTTCTTGCACGACAGATTTCTTTTTTGCCTTTTTTTGCCTTGTGTGGTGTCAACATGCAATCGTGAATTAGGATTTGTTTATCCAATGGATCACTGCGCCCGCCAGCCAGATCTTCCCTTCCACTTCGCCCCTACCTCATCCACCTATTCGTCCGCTCTGCTCCACACCCTTCGCCGCCTCAGTTCAGATCCCCTCAAGCCACTTGAGTCTACCCTCCACAGCGAATGAGGGGACTACAGTACAGAGATCAAACTGTGCACCACTCGAGTCTCGGCTCCACTCAAATCCGTCCTCAGACCTCTCCCCGCCATCGATAGAGTTTCGTCCAATTCAACTCTAAGTGAGGACTGCATCCGAAACCCTATCACATTACGGTATGATGCATACATGCGACTCGATGTGTGCTTCCAAATACTGCAAGCCTTTGAAGTCACAATCACTGGTTATAAGTGCGCAAGTGAATATGCCAAAGTATACCACAAGGCGAGCACATTGAAGATCGGTCTAGTCACTGTAACCAACGGCGCACGCACACGCAACACAACACCGAGGAGTAATTAACATTACCGTAGATACGGAACTGACAAGAGGGAGCATACTGTAGTACTACTACACAGTACTGTACACATAACCCGGAGATTCTCGTCCCGATTCTCGTCCTGAAATATCTCACGATAAAAATCTTTCATTGTTCCTCACCTGCCTCTGTCTGAGCAGTTGCTCTTTCTCCGCTAACTCCAGAGGCGCTTCAACATGTGTCACCGACAAAACTGCGGGGGGCTAATAGAAAACCTATTTCTCAAGTTTAATTGGTTCTCAGTGGGTGAAAAGTTGTTATTCATGAGTAGCACAGTACTGCGCACAAAAATGATGCCATTCACGTTTCGTATTCATCAAACTCCTCGGCAGATTGTGACCTGTCCGTATCCTAACCTGCAACGAAGGGCGTGAATTTATGCTTGCGCACAATTAAAATCTACTGTTCCTCATTTAGCTCCATTGTTCGCCTGATATTGAGAACAGAGCAGTCATCATCTACAAACAGTAAGCTCTGCATCACAAGTTTCCGTTCCTTGGTTCCCAGGTTCAGAAACTCTCGTCTTGAAATTCCTCGTCCTGGTTTCTTAGGACGTACCATATCAGTTAGATTCACCCAGATATCTACCAGGTCGCTCACTGCCATCCCGTCCTTCAGCCATAGTTTCTCTTTCTCCATATGGAACTCCCTCAGATCCGGTATCGTCCAGTATTCGTCATGGTCTACGTCGACCACACTGAAAAAATAGTCAACAGCTCCGTTCGAAGATAGATTGTTCAGTACAGACAAAAAGATAGCGAACTCTGCGAGAGTCATCTCTTTCTTATTGCGGCAATGTGTTGATACAGTTGCCTGTACTGCTGATGGAAGTAAAGTTTTTCGTGTCGTGCAAAACTTCTGCACCTCCGCGACAGTCAGACTGTAATTGAGAGCCAAACCTCCACTGCGGGACACAGCTGTAGGGCACGCTTCTGTTGCGAAGGATCCCTTCACAGAACGAATCTGACCCATTGACAGTCCGCTTGCGACTCCCTCAAAGATTCCTGCTTCAGCAGCCACGAGTGCTGCGTTCAGTTTCCCTTCACGCACTTCCTTCGGGCAAACCGGTCTCGCATGTCCGCCGACCGGATTCTTACTTACACCCCGAAGCCCATACATCACAAGAGAAGACCCAATCGCAATAGCTTCGGACATCTTCACGAGCGCGAATGATCCAAACCTAGAAGACCGCGCTTCCATAAACGACGAGATCAGTAGTTCAATACCAGAGTCACATGGGCAAGAGATATCGGTCGACATGCCGCCTGAACGCCTTCGCGTCAGCTTATTACGGTGTGATCCAATTAGCCGCGACGAGTATGCGGTAAGATCAAACTCGGAGAAGTTGCGCGGCACGAGTCTCGATGCTCCGTTTGGGAGGGGCGCCCCGTACTCACTGTGTCCTGTGAGCTTCCCGGGAAGCGGTACAAGAGATGCATATCGATCGATCAATAGGTTTGACAATCTTTCTTCCCCTTCACATTCCTTCAGTCTCGAATCCCAATATGCCAGAAACGCATCACCAGATATGCGCCGATTCTTCCGTTCCAGTGGTAGGTTTGGCACTCCTGCTTCTGGAGTGGTCGATTCAATCTCGAAAGACGATCCAAAAGCAGCTTGGAATAGCAGCGGTCCTGCACATTTCGGCAGCCCGCAAGAACGAGCAATACCAGAACAGCTATCCGCTGTCGCGCAGCCGCCGAGGTCCGAGAATGCCACTTCGATCGCCGCACGCTCAGCACGAAGCCTATTCTTTCCGTGCATGCTAATTTCTTGGGATCGAATACGTGCCCTTCCCACCTTCATCCCTCTTCGATCCCGCAACCTCCTCGTGACCTCGCTCCACGTCTTCGCAGGCAGATGACTGATATGATCATTGAGCAAATCATCAAGGATGTCGTCAGCGCTGTGAGTCCGAGATATTTCATATCCAGGTGCATCAAATTCGGTATCTCGTACATGCCCCTCATCGTCATCAATGCCCTCAATTGCTATCCCGGGGCATTCAAGGGTTTCAATCGAAGGCACTGAATATGACTTTCGAAGCATCTCGTTGCCTTCTTCTTCACTTAAAGGACTTGAATCCAATGACTCGTCGCCGATATGCTTTAGGGTACCATGCGAATTAAGCTGGTTCGTATTAGAAGCAAATGCTTTGCCCATGTTATACACGACGCGAGTGTCTTCGGGGTCCAGTGGGTCAGCGTAAAAGTTGAATCGGTCGAGGAGTTCCAACATGCGGTTATCCGCAGTTGAACGATAGCGCCCTGTTCCAATTACGACTGTGGGTATTCTACCAACAACGACTGTGATCTGACGAAGAGTCTTCTCAGGCGGCGCATACAATATAATGAGGTGCGAGTCTAGCAGAAGTCCGGGATCCCTGGAGGCAACGTCCTGATTTGCAGCTCTAATCATGATCTTTCCACATTTTGTGAAAGAGTCTTCGGCCGCATATCGCGCTAGTCGTCGAAAGCCGACGAGCAGAACTTTCACGATTGGCGAAGGAATCGCATTTCCTGTCCTCTCACCTGGAGTCAAAGAGAGGGAGCCAGGGGCGAGATCCGAGGTTATGGAACTTTCAGCCAATACGCGTCTTCTTAGTCTAGTCGGGGAGAACCCGGCCTTTGGTGATATTGGTGGAGTTGTTCTTCTCTTGAGGGTCCTTTCGCCAACGACCTTGCCCGTAAACTTGATATCAAGGACGATTCTGCGGAGTGCCGGGGACACTCTTGCTTGAGAGGACTCACCATCCGAGATGAGGGCGATGGAGGAATCAATATTGAGAACGGAAAGGGCTGGGCACTGAAGAAGCGGAGTCAAGTCGAGAGTGCCTCCCAAGCGGTTGCCTCCCAGTCGCAAGGAACGGAGTTTCATGCTAGATGAAAGAGCCTCGAGGTTGAGAGGGTATTCATGAAGCGAGTTGTCTTCAAGATACAAGGACCTCAAAGACTTGCAAGCTCTGAGGGGTCCAAGGTCAACCTTTTCAAGCTTGTTGTCATGCAACCAAAGCCTTTCAAGCTTGACGCAGCTCGCAAGCGGTGCTAGATCAATGGAAGCGAGGCGGTTGCTGTTGAGACAGAGGACTGAGAGACCGTGGCAGGTTGAGAGCGGAGTGAGGTCAACCATCTCTAAGGTATTCGCCGCAAGCGATATCTCGCGAAGATTATCTGCGACGGGTGCTGCCTGCAGCGCGGAAAGCGAGACAGTCTTGAGTCCGCGGCCTGAAAGAGAGATGTAGTCGACATCATCGTGGAGCTTGACAATTTGGGTTTCCCCCTTGTCATCAACACCGCGAACGACGCTGGGCTGTTCAAAAGAAGCGGTGGCGGGAGAGGGGCAGTTAAGAATCGAAACGAGAGAGTGAACGGAATCACTCTTTGGGAGCGGACCGGCTGCGACAGAGGAGGGGGAGAGAGGGTTGGGGGGGGTGACTGGTTCTGAGTTGTGCATGGTTATGCGGGAAGAGTGACGAGTGGGGGAGTGGTAGCGTTGGGGAAAACGAAGTCTAATTAGTAAACGGAGTTACGGCTTATGCAAGTGTAAGTGGGGAATGAATCGTGAGCAAAACACAGAATGATGGGGTGAAGGTTACCGGGTGGAGGGGAGAGCAGGAGTCGTGGAAGGA